TTATGTCCGTGTATTTCGTTATACATGTCTCGATAACTCATCGTTAGAAAAATGCAGGAAATGAGCATCTCGCAAATGGCCCCACTTAGATATTATTTTACGGGCAACTTTTTATCTCATTATGAGATATCTCGTGGAAAACACGGAAGCTACGTATATCTTTCAACATTTTTATTTTTTCGTGGATACTTTCTCATTACAGTATCTTCGGTAAGAAGCACAAGGAAGCTCTATGTTCTTCAAGATTTGTTTCCTATTCGCCGATAGTACAATAATTGCTGGTGAAATGATACTTTATTATGCGCGTCTCGACGTTTCGTACAATGAAAACGTGGGACTTGGATATCCTTCATGTTACCGTGTATAAAGCGGTATTATCGCGTTACCGTATAACACGAGTGGCAAGAGATTGGAAAATGACGGGAGCGAGGGGAATAAGGAGGATATTTATGGTATATATCGCGGATCGGGCCCTTAAGAGGGACGCGTATAAATTGGACACGGTTAAGGTTGGCTTATTTATAACAAAACCATTGGCTCCAACCTAGCGCGGAGCGTGGGTTTATCGCTGTAATGAAGGAAATGAGATGTCTGTATCGCGATAAAAATTGGCGCGGTAGATCTTCTACGTATCATTCATTTTGTTACTTGGGCACTAATCGAGGGTTGAAAAGTATGACGCGAGTGGTTTGTGGTAAATGAATTGGACTAGACGATTTCGATTAATTGAACAGACGATTACAAATTGCCGGCAAATAAAGACGCGGGATTGGTCGTTCAACGCGATACATTTTATTCAAGTAACGCGGATGTTTGTTCGTATTGCGAGTAAGCCGATTGCGGGACAGTGAAAAAACGTAAAGTCGAAGAAAGAGCTTCTCGAAAGATACATTGCCACATATCGATCGAATAGGAATAGGTCTATTGATCGACGATTAATCGGTCGAAGAATGCTATCGTTTAATTGAAAACTGAATTAGCGCGAAACATTTAGGTATACATTTGTTTTCTCTACAACGAAATCTCTTTTTTCTTTTCATTATTTTTTCATCGCTCTTCGACCGCGTGCCTTTTTCGTCTTCGTCCGTTCCCACCCTCCCTTTCTTTTCGCTCTTGATAGTTTATCGGTTGCCTCGGTCCGCTCTTTGATACTCCGGCTGATTGGAGTGTACGCACCCAGCGTGGAGCATTAAATTCAATCGAAAACTATTTTTTTTCCGACGGCATGTCGGCACAGACAAATTGTACTTCCCACACATGCCGGTCCCGCACAAGGCCGGAATGTTTGATCCGTTATTTAGAACTCGCGTCCGATTCGCGCCCAAATTCACGATAGAGAAATAACAGCATTTTTGCAAATACACATTTTCGCGCCTACTAATAGTCACGTGCTTATTTACGATCAGCTGAAATGCATGTGAAATAATTTCAAACCATACGTACACGTGCATATACATATAGTATATATTTTTTTCTTGTAGAGCGATTGAAATGGGAACTTATTCTAATTTGGTTTCGTATAAATAACTTTTTGCTTTTGCTATACAATTATTATGTATTATTCTGAAAATATTTGTTTGAATATTTTCCCCCGTACGCTATTTTCATAAAAATAAATAATACACCTATAATAGCACGCGCACGAGAATTTCAATATGAATGATCAATGATATTTATAAAACGACGGGATTAAGAGACACTGAATGAAGTTGCGTTCAACGCTTTATTTGCGTATTACAAATTTTCCCGATCGCATAGTTGATGAAGCACGTTAATCTATCGAAAAAGCCCAATTAGTTTTCGATACATTTCAGTCAGATGGGTCAGCGCATGAAATAGTGAATTTAATGCTTTTGCGACAGTGCTATTAAAAAGTTAATTGTTGATCGACCGAGTTTTATTTTAAGCGGAAAAAATGTCACGACAGGAATATTACGTCTAAATGTAATGCATTTTTACTGCTGCTTTCGCAGGCACCGAATGCTCGGCTACGCGCCAGCATTTAATTATCGACAATGCGATCGCGAAACTACAATAATACGCGATAAACGAAGTTATCGAGTACAGAGTCTTTGCTATCATCTTTGTGTTTTGCATGCGCTAAAGGAAAGAAATCGATGGGGAAACAGGAGCGTCGTCTTAAAAAAATGATACTTTCCCTTGAAATTTTAGACTTTGTAATTTACAACGGGCTATGTCGAATTCTTTTTCTCTGAATAAATCTTAATGAGATCCGTGATAGTCGATGGATTGATTCGAATAAACGTCGCCGTCATGCTAGATTAATTTCTTTTCAAACATGCAAACACAAAATATTCGCTTTCTAAATTTCGTGATCTCGCGGATCGAGATACGGCGAAACTAATGAACGGACGAATCTACATCGAGATGAATTCGAGGTCGTGGCATTCCGATTCGGGCGATTACCACGGTAACATTATAACGAATGAGAAATTTCCAGAGAGATTTCATCTGGAAAAAAAAATTTATAACTGTAGAAATCTGTGATTACACGTGGGAAAATATTGTGCGCGCTTACGGTGCGCGCTATTGAAATCTTTGCATAATTTCCAAAGGGATTATGTAAAAACTCGCAGAAATTTTTGGATGGGATAACTTGGCAGTTTTAATATAATTTGTAGAAAAAAGTACTTATATATATGGCGCGCTGAGAGAAAAACGAACTACATATATAAACTTTCTCATTGTGTTTAAGAATACTTAAGTGAGAAAAAAGTTCTTATGAAACTGGCAGGACTTTCTTTTTAAACGATTGAAATTAAACGGCCTTTCGCGAAGTAACTTTCATCAATGCAAATAAAGATAATAAATCCTCGTTCTTTATTTAATTCTAAATGGATTTTATACGCAAACGGAATTTTCACGTGTCACTTAATTAGAATACTGAACGTTAAGAACTAAAAAAAAAGTAAAAAAAAATAGCATCGCATCAAATTTGCGTAGAAAAATCGGCTACTGTTTAAAAGATAAAGATAGGAAGCCCGTATATCTCGTCTGATAACAGCGACATAAGTAAAAAACAGCAGTTTTATAGAACGATTAAAAATTTTCAGATTATTATATTAACATTGCATTTAAATAATAAATGTATTTTTAGAACTATTCTTATGATGTTTTTCTAGATAAAAGTATACACGTTTTCGAGTTGGTAAATTATAAAAACACAAAATCTCGTATTGCTTCTTCATAATTTTTACTCGTGTCACTTTTCTTGTGTAAGAGCGATATGTAGTTTTTTTACTTTATTAATTTGTGGATATTTAAAAACGCATTACATTGTTCGGGCGGAAAATTAACAGATTGTCTCTCGATAAATTGCGTAAAAATGTTATGTACAAATCACATTCTCTTACGTAATGGTACAGTAATTTATCGAGCTGTGATGTGATCTTGTAATACCGCTAATGGCCATGGTGTATATCTAGATAGTAAAATGGGCGTAAAAAGTGTGACACTAATTAGCCGTATAGCTTTTTGCGTGATCGATTAAATTAGCCCTGTCCGATAAAAGTTATCAAGGAAATTGTGAGAGATACCGCAGATAATTAATGTAAACAGGCTTCGCTGAGCACTTTAGTAAATGCGTTTGTTGGAAAAACTATCTGTGATTTTATGATACTTTGCAATAGAATTTATCTGTCAAGCAGATGTTTTTATATAATTTAGTATTTTACTGTATCGCAGAATAAGCTCAAGCTTATTAATAGATTGTTAGCAAATTAAAAATTAATTTTAAGCTTAGGAGAAAAGTTGTATAGCCATATAATTTCTGAAAAGTTCTTTGTTCTCATATTTTTCGCCTATAATTCAGAAAATATTGGTATTATAAAGTACATGTAACTGGAAAACAATCTATAAATCTTTATTTTTTAAACTGTTATATACAAAAATTTTATAATGCCAAAAATCAATGTAGGAAAGTAAATTTAATAACAAATACCTAATTTAAAATTAATAAAGGCGAAAGATATGTTGGAATCTAAAAATTATAACTCTTCAAATAATTACACCCCTGTATAATAAAATTCGCGATATAACTTTTGACAAATCTTTTCGCAAAGTATTTCGCTCAACAGACGAAAAGATTGCATATTTAAAATATTTTTCCAAGAACATCTTCGCGTTCTAAGTGGTTCAGTGCTACGATCGAGAATTGATTTAATCATCACGCCATATAAAAGAGCGTCCCGACTCTTGTTCGAGACAATTAACAAGGCTGATGGACGTCTAAAAATTCTGACGACCCGCCTCAACGTCGTGGATCGATCCCGACATTATTCCTCGAGAATGGTCGTTGGCCGTGCCGCTTCATAAATCGCTCGATTTATCGTTGCTGACTCACCGCGATCCGTTCGCATTGCTGCCCGCAAGGGGTATCCACCGACCCCACCGGGTGGCACAGGTGAGCTATGGAGAAATCAGACCTCGAAAATTGTCGAGGATATCCCGTACGATAATCACGGACGCAAGCATCCATAATCAAGCAACAAAGTGGCTTTACGCCGATGTCTTTGCCGATATCACATGTCGTAGATTACCTTTATTTGCTAATAGACAGTTTCTGTCTGTGCGAAGATACATTGATAAACTTGGATTTTCTTTTGTATTATGCAACATTATTTTATATCCTATTTAGAAAGAACTTATACAGGCACCTTTTTGCCAACAGAAAATTTTAGTAACATTTTATGTTAAATATTATGAAATTATATTTATATGATTTTATGATATTTAATATGGATTTTTTATTTTTCTGAAATTTCAAAAATATACATTATGCAATTAAATTATAATGAAAGGAAAATAAGAGAAAAGTGGCATGTATATTTCTGAGTCACAAATTAGATTTAATTTATAACATAATTTGTGAACTGGAATAACAATTGTAATAGCCATATTTTCAAACGAATATATTTGATATTTTTGATTGAAAATTATACATAAAGAAAATTATACGTATAGAAACAAAATGTACTTACGTAAAAATCAGCTGTGCATTTTACAAGGTCCGGAGGATGGCCGGCGTATAACTTCAAAGATTGCAGCAAACCCTTTAAATAAATAGCCAGGAAATAGTAGACTATTGTACGACATATAGGGTTCATTGTCTTGTTTCACGAGTTTCGTTTCTGCTCCTTTTTCTTTCCTCCTCTCGTAAGGAACACTGTTCGTAAGCTTCCATTAAAGCACTTTTATCTCTTTTATGAGATATCAGATTTTAAAGAAATAATAATACATTATCCGACCATTGTATTATATTTTATCGTGTATTAAGAGGGTTTGCAGTCAAAAAGATTATCGTCGATTTATAGAGAAATACTGTAAATCACATATTAGATAAGATTGACGCATTTCGTATTTCTTGAGTCGCGACGTTTAGGTTTTTAATGAAGCGATCAAGAAGTGAAATGTTAATTCGATCAAAAATGCCTGACGCGCGTGACGACCGGTGACAGTAGCTGTGATATCTCCCAGTGATAAATATAAAGAATAGTGACTCTTTAAATACACGCACGATGATAAATAATATATTCTCTCTGCAACTTTGTATATTATCAAGATTACCACAATTTATGATTCCCGTATTTTTCAATACACACTACTGGAGAAAATCGGTGATTTATCTCCGCACAGGCAACGATTCCAGTCTTCTATTTTGGAAAAAGGAACCGGCATACTGGGACGGTGCATCGATCATTCTGAAAGTGTTCACGAGATCGATCGATCTTTCTAAATGGCCCGCAGTAACGCGCTTTACGGTGCATTTTACGGTTTTCGGTCGGTGCAAAAGCTTGTTTCTTTTTTTTCCCACCGGTCGTGTTAGTCGGCTGCAGTCGTAATACTTTTTTCGTTCACGAAACAACTGCCGCGGATTTGTACAGTTGAAAAGTCGCTTCGGGTTATATCGGCCAATGTTCGTCTATATACTTATCTAGTTCGTTGATAAAAATTTCGTCAAGGGGGACAAAAATGCAGCGCAACGAGTTATTATATCAATGTTTAACTATTACAGATGCAAATAATAAAACTTTTGAAATTCTGAGAAAGAATATGGAATTTTTTTCCATAACATTTCATACAACTGTGGAAGATTAAAACATGCTCCAAAGTTGTTAATATATTATCATACGGATAACATACACATGACTTTAGCCATACTGCAAACGAGATTATTATAACTTTGCGAGTTTTCGCACCGCAAGCTAAAAACTCAAACGTTATAAATAACTTTTTAAACTGGAAAACTTTTTTAACTCAATTGAGTTCTTTGTGTTAGGGTTTAAACAATTATTTAATCATTGAACACTATTCCACGGGTAGGGCAACAAAATTTAATCTTCGAGAAGCGAAAAACAATTTGGGACCAAGTTTTTCACAGCAACGTACATAGAGAGTCGCGGTGTAATAGAAAAGTGTCGAACATTACGCGATAATGATTTCGATCGCGATTGATTTTCTTCGACTTCTGACTACCTTCCGCTGCGAACGTTCTGCGCGAGATGACTGAGGTTGACTGCGTTACAGCATGTTAGTCATCTTGGAAGTTAAAGCCTGCTATAAAGCGTGGGAGAGAGGGGGAGAGTATCTGCCTGTGGGAGTCGTTTGTATTTTCGGCATACGTAATATCTAAAATCGCATGTTTTTCGATACGTACATATTAGATAATCCTTTTGGCATTTATCCTGATAAACGTGCTTGATGTAGGAGTGTTTAACAAATTAATGGACGTTGTTACGCGTGAAAACGCCGTGAATGGAATATATGTATATTGAGATCAAATTTTAAAAGAGCGCGCGAGGAAAATATTTAAAAAATTCTATAAATATTAATATTAGTAATGTTAGTAATATTACTGTACTGAAATAATTGACGTGATACAAACAGTAACTACAGTAACTGACGCTCTTTGGTTATTCTATTATCTCGCTGTTAATTTTGGGTTGAAAGTACAAAAGACGGAAATTATATACATATATGCGTATCTATATCGTATTCATTAATATTAATAAAATCAATTGTTGCTGTGTACTGCACGGCAATATAAAATTTGTGAAAACAAAATACAATGTTGCAAGTATTATTGTATCATCTTATTCATTTCGAAAATAAAATTCGCTATGCGTTCACATTCTAAACTGGTCACAGCAATGATGTTTGATTATGACATCGGAAGCGAAAACTCATACATATTTCAGAACTCATAAATTTTGTTGCAGCAATCTTCGAAAAATTATGCATGGCATAAAAGAATAGACTTGATTGAACTTTCTCTCTCTCTCTCTCTCTCTCTCTCTCTCTCTCTCTCTCTCTCTCTCTCTGTGCATAAATAAATAAAAACAATATTTACAATAATGATTATTAATAACAAATAATTTTACATTTACTGTTTCATTTAGAAACCAAGAAAAATAATAGCATTATTTGCATCATAAAATTATAGTAAATAGAATATCACAAGAAAGTTATTTTGGTGTCAGCTGAACAATTTCTAGCGTCGTAATCAGATACATAGCTGTGATAATCTAAATTTTGAGGATCAGCTTTCTGTCTAATATTTTTATTTCATAAAAAATTTTCGTCGATGTTGAGCTTATGGTAAAAATAATATGTTTGAAGCAGACATATATAAAGAAAGTCTACTTTATGATATTATTTCTTTTAGTAGTTGAGGCCAATGTTTCATTATATTCTTCTTTAATTTATTAGGTCAACATCAATTATTTTGCTTAAGTAGAAAGAATATGCGGTTCTCGACTGGAGTTAGACAAATTTAATCCTACGCGCGCGAAAGGAGTCCGTAGTGCGCGGATTGAGAGCAGAGATAACAAGAATAAGCTTAATTTTCGTCGAGTTATTAGAGCACGAGGAGAGAAAGAGGGGAATTGAGTTAGCTGAGGGCGTACACCGCGAGGATTATTGTACGGCTTGTAAAATCCAGACTGGGCCGCGCGATCAAATATTTAGAAAAATTTTCCGGGCATATCAAACTAAAAAGAGTAAGGAGAAAGAGAAAGAGAAGGCGTATGTGTCCTGAACGTGCTTTATATATAGCAGAGCTCCTTGCCAGCTGCTCACTTCAAAAAGCCCAAGGTAGCGAGTCCACGGGAAAGTCTGTGAAACTTTAACAGCGTCTTAAATACTTAACTCGCGCCCGCATCAGTTCTAAACTTAGCGATGGAATTACCGTAACTCCTTCAGTTACAAATAGCCCTCATATTTGAGGTCGTAATATCGTAACTTATTGTGATGAATGCGGACAATAAGCTGGCTACAGATTAAATGTTTATATATGAGTAAAGTCGGTCAGAGATTCTTAATTTACTAATACACGGTCGTTGCCTTCGGAAGAGGATGTAGCAGAAGATGCTTCTATCCTTAATTTTAACTCATTACCTGCTAAAAACTTACAAGACTTAAAAACTTTTCTACGAATATTGATTTTAAGAATTCTATCTTTTATATTGGCCAAGCGTTATTGAGTGACCTAACGATGGATAATAATATCTTAATTAATTCGAAGATAACCTTAATTAATTTTAAGGTTAATTGAGCTATTATTATCTTATAGATTATCTATAGATCTTTAGTTTCGAAATGTTCTTAATCAATGAGTGCTATAAGTAACCTCGGAAAAATTATGTCGATGTTACTGGTCAATTTTATCTAGTCTTCTTTATTTTTTCTATTCTTTCTAAATGATCGAAAGTTATACAGAAGATCTTTCTGGAATGAATCTACATTATTTGTTTCGTACTCTTATTTTAAAAACAGGTTATTGCTATTTTCCATCGATATTGATCAATTGTTATTGTTGTCGTGAAATTTGATTAGTCTAAATTGAAAATAAATGACGATTGGCAGCGTGAATTTAGAAAATAGAACAGGAATAAATCTGTAGAATTTGCATGTTATAAAAATGTTCAATTATCGATAGTTAAATTTCTGACCGTTTCCTTCAAGTAAAACGAAAATTTATGCTCGGCAGGAGAACGACGGTAACGAATAGGTTAATTTCGGCGCTAAGTAAAATATTCGCACGGAAGAGAACGTTTTAATGTTACACATATAATTGATCGCGACTGTAAATGTCAGTTTGTAATGTTTCCCTCGGTTAGTACGAGAAGTACCAGCGCTCGCGATGCCCAAATTAACCCAAATTATGATTTACGTACGTGTATTTCAAACTGTATTATGTTAAACAATACTGATTGCTACTTAAGCGTTAAATGATTAAACCAATACATAGAAGCGTTTACTTAGGTGTCGCTAATTTAGTCCACCGAAATCAAGATAAACATATTTTCAATGCTTACGCATGCTACTCACGCATACTACCCATATGACGTTAATAATTCTAGTCTTCCGTAACTAAATTAGTTTTTATTTTTAATTTGGACTAATTTAAAAGAGCTACTATTTAGTATAATATTTAAAGACCAACTTTCAATATAATAGAACCAATAGCTTTCTGTTGTTCTAACTTTTCATTTTAATTGTCATACAAATTAGACTTAACCTTTTGAAGCATGGTGGTAACCCACGTTACCACCTCAACTTCATTACTTGTTGGCCATTTAATTTCTAGTTAACGCATTTAGGTCAGGTTTTTTCACCTTTTTTGAATAACTTAGCAATGAAAGAACACAAAAAAGTTGAGTAGTCTTTATTGTAAAAGTTTTATAAATAAACAAATATGAAAAAACAGCAATTTTTTTAGAAAAATTCATTATTGACCAAATTTTTAAAGATTATTTCTTGAAAACTTGGTACAAAGGAGTTTTCGAGGTCGCTCATTACGAATCTGATGTCAGATTTTTTAAATTCAAAATGGCCGACCCAAAATGGAAGATGCAAAGTACGTGAATTTTTCAAGTCTCTCAGCATTTTCGTTTGATTACATTACTTAAGGACTTTTTAGGTCGCTAACTACGAAATTCGATGTTTTCATTAAAAACTCGCTATCTATGGATCAGGTGTACAGTTCGAAAATAACACTTCATAAATAAGAATCTGAAATCGGCAAATTTTGTGCTATTTTTATATTCTATAA